CCCCCGCCTCCACCCCCACAGAACGAGGAAACTCTGGTGAATACCGGGGATGACTTTCCTCCACCTCCTCCCCAAGCTTTGTATGAGGCTCAGCTGGACAGCGAGGATTACAGGAGTCCCCATACCAGGTGAGTGGACAGACTCTGAGTGGGCCATGCCTTCATCTGCAGAGCAAAAGCTTTCCCCTCTCTAATATGAGATTTTACATTCCAGGCTTTTCTGACCCTCCTTTTGGCCCATAGGAAAGGTCTGGAGTGGAGGCTCTTATACAAGCTTAGCTCAGAAGACAGGTGGAACTGGTTCGTTTGTTTACGCTGTGTGGGTATGATATTAGTAGTCATGGGGTAAGACAGAAGTGAAGATAAAGCCTCAACCCAAGAGGCACAGCGCACCTCTATGGATATAAGTTCAAAGGGCACAAAACATAGCATCCTTCTTCCTGCCTGAGTATCGAGTCAATGAAGAAATGAGACAAGAAGGAGACATATGGAGGATGAAAGTACCACTTCTGTTACTGGTGGAGTATTGAATTGTAATGCTGAAGAATGTGGTTAGCCTCTCTTTCCCACAATCAACCTTGTCCATGGGAAGAATGGAGGAGAGCCAAAGGTCAGTGATGTTTAGGGAGGAACTTGTTGGAAGCCAGAAGAACTGGAAAGAAGCATTTCCCAATGCATGTCCCCAGGGCAAGGGACTGCTGGTAACATCAAAAAAAAAAAAAAAAAAAAAAAGACGGATTGCCTGACATCACCTTTTTGGTAACTTCCTTAAATACCACAAGAGTGATTTACTACCACTGTCCATTATTCAGCAGGACCTTTCAGAAAGCTCTGGAATCTACAAATATGTCGTCAAAAGTTGACACAACTTCCCTGTGATGAATAAGTGGGCTCAGTTGAAGGCCCTTAAGAACCCTGCAATTTAGGGGGGTAATCTCAGAAATGTGACTATCTTGCCCCATTCCCAATGTAGAAAAGTACAACCTTAGTGTGGAAAACCTCCCTAGTCTTTCTTCACGCTCTCATCTTTATCCTCGGTTGACTCTTCTCTTAAACCTCTCTCTTTTCTTGTCCCTACCAGCTCCAGCAAATATGCCAAGGTGACAGTTGCCAAGGAAAAGCCAGGGGCTGGTGCAGCCCACATGGATGGTGATCAGCTACTGGCTTCCAGACCACAGACTTCTATCAGGGGCCCAGAGGTCAACAAGACCAACCCACCCTCCACCACAGAAGCTACACCTCAACTTGCTGGGACTCTTGTCAAGCAGCCAACCCCAGGGAAGTCACCTCCCATCCAGACCCAAAGCCTGAGCCATGATCCAGTTAATGGGATTCAAGGGTCAGAAAAGAATGTCAGCTTAGGTCCTCAGAAAACCTCTGAAGACATCAGAACAGAGACTCTGGCCAAGGAAATTGTCCACCAAGACAAATCTCTGGCAGATATTTTGGATCCAGACTCCAGAATGAAGACAACCATGGACCTGATGGAAGGATTATTTCCCCGAGATGTTAAGTTGAAGGAAAACGGTGTAACGGGGAAGGCCGTGCAGAGAACGGTGGACTACCCGGGGTATGAAGGCAAGAGGTAAGTCCCTGGTAATGGTCCCTAAGAGACATAAAGCTGAACTCTATCCATGGGGGAGATGATATGTCGGGCACTATTTATCTGCTCTTTTCCTGCTTCCAAAGATTCTGAGCAGAGAATGACGTTCCATTTCAGCTTTGGGCAATAGTTCTGAGGAGTAGGTGTGGGCTAGACTGACCCCAAGTTGCCAAGCACTTGATTCACAAAAATAGTACTAATAGTAGCAACTGCCATTAATACCTATTGTTTGTGTCTGGTATTAAGTTATAAATCATCTTATTTCATCTGTACAAGAACTTTCTGAAATGGCTATTAGTTTTTTAGGTTTTTTTTAAAGATTCTATTTATGCATACAGAACAGGGGTACAGACTAGTTGCAGGGGTGGTGAGAGGATTCACCATAGACAGAGTAGGAAGCAGAAAACGCAGATCTACCAAAACACACTGCTGAGGGGAGCAGCAGGTGAGAGAGGAGAAGTCTGCCGAGCCATGTGGGTCACCTGCCTGACCGGGGATTGAACTTATGCTGAGGCAGTTGCGGATAACTTTGTAGTGCTGCAATTTAACCCGTTGCATCACCGGGAAGCGTGAGAGGGTGGCATCTTGCTGAACTGGGTGCCATGGTCCTACATGCTATAAGATCTATATTGTGCCCTGGGATGCACCACCCCAACATTCACCTTTGAAGAGTTAGGGTGGATGTCTGCTCAGATCCCGAAAATACAAGATCCGTAGGGCCACACTTGCGAGTGTTGCTCAATCAGTGAGCCTCTGCCCCTCATGCTTCCCTTGCACTGTTTACAGGCCCGGGACCTGTGTCCTGTGCCCACCCACAGTCTGACTCCCCATTCTTATGACTTCTCCTGAGTGACTGTGGTATTTTCTTGCATATTTGACTTCCCTTAAAAGATGGACCACTATGCCCTCCCTGGTGGCTCAGCGGGTTAAAACACAGCACTAAGAAGCTAAAGCCACTCACGTATGAGTTTGATTCCCGCCTGCCCCGGAGGTGATCCACATGGCGCGGCAGACTTCTCCTGGCCCGCCCGCTGCTCCCCTCAGCAGTGTACTTCATCGATCTGCCTGTTCTCCCCACTCTGTCTCTGGTGAAGCCTCTCGCCGCCCCTGAGCCTCTGGCCTGTACCCCAGTTCTGTATGTACAAATAAATAAATCTTTAAAAAAAAGATGGACCACTAAAGGAAAGATTTAGAGTGGTTTTTATTTGCTTTTTCGTTTTCAATGAACACTCTGTGGATTTACAGACTGAGGTTCAGCAATTGGTGGCTTCCAGGCTAAATAAAAACAAAAAAAAAACAGGACATTTCATCTAAATTTGGACTTGCATTTTAGAAATTTCCAGCTGATCCCAACTTAATTACTAACAGGAATACCATGCTTTGACTCGTGGGAGAGAGAAGTAAAAGGAGATCTATATAGTACTTGAAAGTGAATTGATGTTACGGAGGCTCTCCTAACAGGTCTGAACCTTGTCTGTCCCTGAATTTTCAATTTAGCAAACAAAGACTAGTCAAAGTGAAGGGACTTATCCAGGATTGTGCATTGAGCAAATATTTTTCCTGAGTGCCTACAATTGTCAGGCAATCCACTGGGTGCCATGCGGGACTCAAAAGATGTTTCTGTGGTGTGTCAGGTCAGGTCTCCATGGTTTGGTTGGTCAGAACGAGGCAGCTCCGTTCATTTCATTCTGTTCTGCTTCCTCACTGTAGTCAGACCAAAGTCACTTATGAGCACGTCCTTATAAGAGCATTTTGTAGCTCTAGATCATTCAGAACATAATTCAGTCAATTTAGAGGTGAGATGATCACAAAGCTCTTAGAGCTTTGAGGGCCTCCTCAGAAATTTCCAGAGGATGGCAAGTGCCATCTTCTGGTGAAAATGAGCATTGGCCTGTTGTGCCTGAGACTGTCCAAACAGCCCTGAGAGGTTGAGTTCTCAATGCGTAAAAAGCCTGCAATGAATTGAATGGGAGGGAGGGAGTCATATATCAGAAAGTAGTCTTATTTTTCAATTTACTGGGTTAGATGTAGTTAGATTGCTTAGGGGAATAATCCGACCCAGCAGGAAACTAAGTACAAATGGCTGTTTGTAGGATTTTATACTGTAAGATGATGATCTAAGTATCAAATAATTTCACAAAATTGAATAGTTGAAATATTTCTTCACTAGAACCTCCTTTTTCCCCATAAGGTCATTTATTCAGTGGGTTAGGATCCTACCCATAATGTGCATAGCAACTTAGTTGTCGTAAAATAGAAAACGCCCAAGATATCCATTCCTAGCGTGTTCTCCAGCCTTGAAACCCGCTGCCGTGTAATCAGCAGGTTGATGTCACACCTTGTATTTATTCAATGTGGACCCACAGCTCCAGATTGCTCAGGCGTACATGGTACCAGACTTAGATGCGTAGGACAATTGGTAAGTGTCCGAGGAAGAGGATGCCAGACCTTGGAGGAGAAGGCAGTAATATTTGGGCAGCATCTTGAAACTACTTTCACATTGACTGACTCATGATACCCCCATTGTTTTTCTGAGAAATAGGGAGACAGGATCATAATACCACAAAGGGGCAGACCTGGAGAGGATGACTGCCCTCCCTGGAGTCCAGTGTACAGTGCATGGGAAACCCACAGGGATTACAATTGAGAGGGAAAAAAAGGCCAAAATGTGTAAAAAAATGAACTATTATATTTAAAAAAAGAAAAAATGGAATGGAATTTTGTAAACATCTTCTGTATACAGGCGATTATGAAAAGATGCTTCTGATGTGTGCACAGTATGACTGTTTGTTCTTTAACATCCAGAAATGAAGACAAGGAAGCACTGGGCATGCTGGTCAACTGCCCAGCCTACTACAGCGTGTCTGCCCCCAAAGCTGAGCTTCTGAACAAGATCAAAGATATGCCAGAAGTGGTGAGTGATGAAGAGGAGCAGGCAGATGTCAATGAAAAGAAGGTAATGGGAGAAGAGGGACCTTTGCTCTGCCCTGCCCAGTGAGATGAGGCTCTGGCGGGGTCACTGGTCCCTGGCCGCGGGAGGGAAGGGGCTGTCACGTCACTAACCTCACTTACACCGTCAGTGGACTTTGGACAGAGGTGGTATTGTGAGCATTTTCATCAATGCTCTCCAGGCGTTTCCATCTGTACATGATGATAAACAGATGGTTAGGAATTAAGTTACTTCCTAAAAGTCTCATAAATGGAATGAGAACTTAGGCCCTCTGCCTCTGACTCAGCACAGGGACCTGACACTATTCTCAGAGCTGAGCAACGAATACCCACAGTGTGTGATTTTCATTTCATGATTCGTGTCAAGAAGAAAAATGGTCAGTCTAGAAACTTTGTTCAAGGAAAGAGACTATCAGGAGACACTTCTGAGAGGTTATGTTAACCTTCTGATTCCCTGACTCTTGGCAGTACCCTAGGGAATAGCTTGAGACTCAGAATTTACTCCTGTAGAAATTTTTAAATGTCATGGAGCTCTTAGCCCTGCTCTGCCAGCAGGAGAGAAAGTTCTTGCCATTCTATTTCCCTACAGTCCCAGACAGCTGCCTGTGACCATGCTTACAGCTCAGGACTGCAAAAGGATTGTGCTAAATCCTGCCTCGTGCTGAGCCTGGAATGTCAGTGGTAATCAAGTCCAAGAGAAACTTTCTTATGTAATTCTGTGTCATTTATCCTGTAGTATGTATCCTCAGCCCTCTTGTGTGCTAGAATGAGACCACAGGATAAAGGACCATGGGAACAGGGGAGAATAGAGCAGAAGGACTTAAGGGTTTTCGGGCACCTCTGTCATTCATAGTCCTCTCCTCTGACCGCCCCCACCCCAGCTCTGTGTACTGAGTGTGTGGCTGACACGCTGTAGTAACGCACGCTTCCAGCCCACCGTCTTCCCATTTAATCATCTCCTTCATGGCGTACTACCTGGCATATTCCACCTGCCTCTGTGGTGCAGTCCTCTTCTCTCCCCATTTCATGGGTCTTAAGATTGGTCTGTCTAGATTTATCCCAGAGAGAGCAATATAAATACCACTACAAGTACCAGGTTGCCATGACAAATTTAACTGAACATCTTAGTTTTGGGGGGGAGGAGGCTCTATGTGTATAGACATAACCTGCTTTACAATAGCAGAGCAGCAAATTACTTGTTACTTTTTCCTCCCCATCTTAATTTTAACTGCTTTTTCCTCACTTTATTATCACCCTGTCACTCTGAGGACTGTGTGGCAAAAGTATTTTTAGACTGAGAATAGGGAGGAATGTTGGATTCCTCCTCACAGGAAACAAACAGTAAGTACCATTTATTGAACACCTTGTATGTTCCAGGTATAGACTACCTTTTCTTGCACAGGGCTATACTATCTTTGCGATTTACCAAAATGGCTCTGACGTGTGTATTGTGCACATTTTGCAGTGAACTAATCACAGTGTGTTGGGCTATGTCAGGACGAGGAGAAAGAAGGGCATTCGAGAGCGTAGCCTGGGAGGAGACTAGAGATGTAAATCAACCTGGGTAGAGTGTGTATTGAAGAAAGGCACTTCAGGTAAGGGGATATTTTTGACTATAAAGAGTCATGATTACATTGTAAAATTACCAGATTTAGAAAAGAGAAAGCTACAAATGGCAGATGAGGCTGTTAAGGATCCACATGGCCAGAAGGTCACACAAGAGTTTCTGTGCAATGTTGAAGCATTGGGATTCAGTGTGAGGGTCAGATTATGTGGCAGGGGAGACCCCTGATTTTTTTTTTTTTTTTACTTATTTTAAGGAACTACAAGTTTATTATGTAATCCACAATTTCATTAGCGTCACATTTGTATATCTGATTTAGAACACAAAATGTGATCTTTAACTAGTTTGAAAGCATCTATTGGTATGCTCAATATTAAGTTGAAAATGTTCACTGGTGAGCTACAACAGCTTTTCCAGCAATGACTTTGAATACTGACCAAGACTCACTTTTTATTCTCCAAGATTATTCTGAAGCAAAATGAATGTTGTAGTTTTCAACCAACTTTTTCAAAGTAATAACTTTTTTAAATGTTTTTTAAATATCAACAAACCACAATGTATTTCTAGACATGAAACTCACTAAGAGTTCCTAGAAACTAGAATTCTGATATATTCATGAATTTTTTAATTGAATCTGGCATCTACCTTAAGATATTTATCAGTATATGATCAGTATCACTTAAAATATGAAACACTTTCATTGTCTGAACTTTATTTATTTGTGCATACAGAACTGGAGTACAAGTCAGAGGTGCAGGGGAGGTGAGAGGCTTCACCAGAAACAGAGTGGGGAGCAGAACAGGCAGATCGAGGAAGAACACTGCTGAGGGGAGCAGTGGGCAGGTCAGGAGAGGTCTGCCACGCCATGTGGTCACCTCCGGGGCAGGCGGGGATCGAACTCTTGCTGAAGTAGCTTTAGCTTCTTAGTGCTGTGCTTTAACCTGCTGCGCCACCAGGGAGGGCCCCTTTGTCAACTTCTTACAGGCATAAAAACTACAGGCAGTTAAATAATTATAACTTTCAATTCTTTGGCTAACTCCTGTCATATCTAACTGGCAAAAATCTGCATGATTCTCTGTTCTGAAGACCAAAAGGCTTTGGCTTAAAGACTTAGTGGAATATTTCAGAGGGAAGAAGAAAGTTATTTCTCAGAATTGGTTTTCCCCAAGAGTTCATTGCAACCCAGATGGTTCCGCACTGCATTTTTGTTGTTCGTCCTTCTTCTTAAAGTTCCAAGTTATCCCGTGATCTTAGCTCTCTTTTAGCCTGAAAATTTCATTTAGCATTTCTTTTAGAATAGATCAGGTAATGCCAGTTCTTTAGTTTTTCTTCATCAAAGAATGTCTTCCATTGTCATTCCTAAATGGTATTTTCACTGGATATGGAATTCTGAGTTGATTATTCTTTTCCCTTTGGCACATTAAAATTGCCTTCGAGCAAGTATTGATCCCTTCTATAGGCAATAAATGTTTTTCTCTGAATCATTGATTTTCAGCAGTTGATGATATCTGCGCACCTGATCTGTGTGGCTCATCGTATTTGAGGTTTGACAAACCTTTTAATTCTCTTTATGTATGTCTTTCAGCAAATTTGGGACATTTCCAACTATTAATACATCTCTCAGTATTTTTATGCACTAATCTCTTCCTCCTTTTTCGTGACTCCATTGACACAAATGTTAGACTTCTTTATTAACTTACAAATCCTTAGAGCTCTGTCTTTAAAAAAAAAAAAATCTTCATCTTCAAGCTCACTGAAATTCTTGTCTCCATTTGCCAGGGGCTTTTTTTTTTTTTTCAGTGCTAGAATTTCAACTTGGTTAGTTTTTGGTATGTGTATTTCTTTGCAAAGAACATTTATTTTTCTACTACATTTCAAAAAGGTTTACTTTACCATGGAGGTTGTTTATAAAAGCTATTGTAAAGGCGTTGGTAACCCCAACAGGGTTCGTACTTGTTGATTGTTCTTCCTTGGGAACTGCTCACAAAGTTGAAGTAACGTCACATTATCACAAGTTAACAATTTACATGTATCTGTGCTATAAAGTGACCACTAACCCTTCTTACACCATTGTCCCTTTCCCCCAATTTATCCACACCCCTTACTCCGCCCCTTGTGACAACCATTCATTGGTCTTACAGTCTAAAGGGATTTTTGCAGTTTATTAATTTTCACTGTATATCATATGAGTGAAATGATACACACTGTTCTCCATCTGACTTATTTTACTATGCATGATACCCTCTCGTTATACCCACCTTCTTCAGACTTCAATAGCTGAGCAATACTGCATTATATGTTTACCACATCTTTATTCACTCATCTGGCAGTGGGCACTAATGTTTCTAGTTCTCGGTGATCGTAAATGCTGCAATAAACATGGGGGAGAGATCAGATTAGTGGTTTTTATATTTTAGAGGCAAATACCCAGAAGTGAAATAACAGGATCATATGGGATTTGTTTTTAATGTTTTGAGTAATTTCTGTATCCCTTTCTACTGTACCAATGCCCATCCCACACTTGTTTCTTTTAGAGAATAGCCATTCTAACAGGTTTGAGGTGATCTCCCATTATTGTCTTAATTTCCATTTCACTAATAAGGACATCACCCATATGTCATCTTTGGAAAAGTGTCTATTGAGATCTTTTGCCCATTTTTTTGAACAGGCTTTGTTTTCTGTTACTCACTTTCATGAGTTCTTTATATATTTTGAATATTAACCCCTTGTCAGACATATGAAGTGTAACTATCTTCTCCCATTTAGTAGCATGTCTTATTTTAATGCACTTTTCTCACTGTGCAGCATTTAAAATGTAACCTCATGTATTTCTGCTTTTGTTCTCATGATACAGGCCACATCAAGGAGCCTATCACCTATGTGTTCTTCTATACATTTTATATTTTTAGATCTCACATTCCAAGTCTTCAATCCATTTTAATTTTTGTATATGTTGTTAGACGGTGGCCCAGTTTTCCCAGTACCGTTTATTGAAGAGGCTTTTCTTGTACCATTGTATCCATACATGTGTAGCTTTATTTCTGGGCTCAATTCTGCCCCATTACGTGTGTCTGTTTTTACTCCAATATCATATAATTTTAATTGCTATCACTTTCTAGTATATTTTGAAGTCAGGGAGTATGAGACCTCCAATTTTGTTGGTTTTTTTCCTCAAAAAAATTGTTTTATTTTGCCATGCAGGGTTATTTATAGTTCCAAATAAATTTTATAACTTTTTTCTCAGTTTTTGTGAATGCCACTGTGACTGTTACGGATTACATTAAATCTGTCTACTGCTTTAGTTACACAGCCACTTTAACGATGTTAATTCTTCCAATCCATGAGCGCAGAATACCTTTTCAGCTTTATCTTGTTTCTTTTAGTGAAGTCTTAAATTTTTTTGTGTCCAAAAGGTCCTTGACCTCTTGGCTAACTTTATTCCAAGCCATTTAATTCCTTCTGATGTGAATTATTCTTTTAGTTTTCTTTTAGTTTAGTTCACTACTTGCATATGGAAACACAAGTGATTTTTGTGTATTTTGTAGTTTGCCACTTTACTGTATTCTTTTATTTCTAATAGTCTTTGGAATTTTCTATGTATATCATGTCATCTGCAAATAGTAATAGTTTTATTTTCCTTCCAAATTGGATATCTTTTATGTCTTCCTTTTTTAATTGTTCTGGCTAGGACTTCCAATACTATTAAGCTTTTTACCATTGAGTATGAAGTTGGCTGTGGGCTTGTCCTATGTGGCCTTCACCACATCAGTACACATTTCTTCTGTATCCATTCTGTTGAGCGCAGACCCTGCTGACAGATCAGATGCGAAGCAAGAAAAAGGAGAGAGTTAGATGAGTCCTGGTTTCCTAGCATTACTGAAACAGAATATAGAGGGGTACTTAGAGGAGAGAGGAAAGAAATGAGTCTAGAATTTAATTTTTTTCTATGTCAAATTTATGAGAGCCAAAACCAACAGACCATAATAAGTAGCTGAGATAACACACTGATCACGAGCCTTCCCAAGGGGAGATGGTAAAAAGCAGAGATAGAGAATCTTTGAAATGGCAGTTGAGTTCCATGTTTGTTTTTGCTTTGCTCAGGTCATATAATATAAGTTTGAGCCAGTTTCTGTTTAGAAACTACCCCCACCTTCCCTCTTGGATAAAACTCAACTAAGACAACAGTCATGCGTAACAGCCTAGAGCGTCCCATTTCAAACGAAACAAGAACAAAGCCAGTGTGTGGAAATGTCTCTATTGGTCCTTGTTTTTATTAGCAGGAGACTGAATTCCACTTTGTCCTTATACTCCAGCCACACAACAGCCCTGAGTGATTTCTTGAGATGAAGTAGCAGAGGCAGACTAAGTATTGATAATCTAGAAGGTAGTTGTGTTATGGGAAGACATTGGGTACTGCTTTGAGGGAAGTCTGACTAAACTGAGTGATTTTGTTCATGTCGTTGACACAAACATGAAAATAGCTCGAATGTATAGAATACTGTTATATTTTACAAAGTGCTTGTACAAGGTTCTATTTTAATGTAGTGATTACAAATGGAGCCACAGTGTTGACGTTTCAGTCTGCCTCGGCACTTGTAACGGCATGAGCTGGGCAGCTTAACTTCTCCCCACCTCATTTTCCACATTAGTGAAACAAGTATAATAATGGTACCTATCACCTCATGTTCTTGCGAGGAGCAATTGATACTAAAACAAGTACTGCCTGGCACAGAGAAAAGGTCAATAATTAAGTATTAGTTTTGCACAGGTATTACTGTGCTCTTGCTGTGGATTGAGAAAACAGACACAAAAGGTCAAGTAAATGGTGAATTTTCTGTTAGAGCCCAGTTCCCTGATTGAAGGACCCAGTAAGGCTTCTCAGCTGGATGGTGAAGTGGGAGGAAGGGCCTGAGAAACTATGTTTTGGGAAGGAACCTTTATAAATAGCATCTCACACAGGGTGAGTTAATATCAGCTGAGAAGTTAAGTGGATAAATGTCAGTGATTTTGCAAATTAAGTAGCTCCTCAGAGAAGACTAGTAGGTTATTAAAAAAAACAAGGCCCCAAACACCTCTTCTCTCCCCCATAATGAATTCTGCAAGTTGGTAGATCTGTTTAAGAGGTCTGTCTGGCAAAGAAATGTCTACTTAGTACAGCCAACATTCCCTTTTAACTGCATTTTTAAGTCCAAATTCCATAGTTTAAGGGCTTGGCAAAATTTTAAAATTCAAATACTATCCAAATATACAACATCTGGGCCAGGAGTGGCTGATGTGGCTGTTCAGTAGTACTCGTATTTGCGTATATGGCTGAGTTTTTGGTAGATGGCATCACTGCCAGAGAGGCCTTCAGAAATGAAAACATGTCTGGGGTCTTCCCATAGAAAGAAGCCCCTCAGGGCCGCTCCTAGACATTTCATAAGTCCATTCTTACTTGAAGCCTAGAATCTACAAGCACTCCTTTGTAGATAGATGAGCTTCTGGTTCTGCCCAGCACTGATAACTTTGACAACAAACAAAGGGCAGCAAAGGAAAAACTGAGTGGATCGGTCTGTGGAGCCTGAACTCTGATGGCTGCTCAGCTTCCTGCCCACTAAACTGAGCTTAGCTGGGGACTCTCAGCACTGCAGAGCCACAGAGGAGCTTGAGAGAGCTGGGCAGATGTCAACAGAAACTCAGAGCTTTTCCCTCACCCCTCATGTGAGGACAGACTTGTCATTACTGGTTTTGGCTCACTTGCAAATTAAAACTCATCACCTGTCCCTCCAAATGCCAGCTTCTGAGAATCATAATGAGGGTTTTTTTTTTTTTAACATATCAAATTACTAGTAAAAATGCTTGGTGTTCCTTTCAGAAATGTCATTTAATATTAGTTTCAAAATAAGTCATACTTAAAAGAATGAAAAATGTGACTGTTACCTTCTCTTTCCATAATTTAATTTTTCAAAAGCCTTTTCTAGAAATTATACACAAAGCCATTGAAATAGACTTAAAAAACATTTGAATATGCAAAAGGTATTTTTCTGATTGTACTATCAGTTAACTACCTCTTTGGATTTGGAATAGCCTGGCTTTCTGTAAGAAATATCCTTTGGTGACATTTAGTGTGTCAATCCTAGGAAATGTAACCTGAGAAGTTAAATAGTACAGGACTGACTTCATGTAGAGGCTGGTCTCATTATCATATAAAAACCTGAAGTAATGACATCTGACTGAATCCTGTCCAACAGGAATGGTGGACAACTATACAACCAGGCAGTGTTTATTTTTCCTACTGTTTTTCATTCCAGTATCTTTACTATTCGCTGGGTGTGTTGCTGGAGATAGTTAGCAGGTTATCTTGCAGGCAAATACCACAGCTGCCAGCCAGAATTCTGGCAGAAAGAAATGCTTTTAGCAAACAATGCTTTTTCCAGGAAAATTTAATTATTAACATTAGCAACATTCTCTCTCATCTGCATGCTTTTGGACTCAGTCCTTTTCAGCTGAGAAGGAATAAAATTTAATACACTATACATTTTATTTCACTTCTAAAATTGTCTTTTGCATTGAAACTGTCAACTAAACAGCTTGAGGAAAAGCAAAAGATTTTTTTTTTTTAAAGATTTATTCATTTGTGCGTACAGAACTGGGGTACAAGCCAGAGGCTCAGGGGCGGCGAGAGGCTTCACCAGAGACAGAGTGGGGAGCAGAACAGGCAGATCGACGAAGTACACTGCTGAGGGGAGCAGCGGGCGGGTCAGGAGAGGTCTGCCACGCCATGTGGTCACCTCCGGGGCAAGCGGGAATCAAACTCATGCAGAAGCGGCTTTAGATTCTCAGTGCTGTGCTTTAACCCGCTGCGCCACCAGGGAGGGCCAGGAAAAGCAAAAGATTTTTAACCAATGATGAAATGGGAGTTTTTTGAGGTTGCCATTAAGCCAGAACTTGAGGGTATCAAGAACAGTATAAAGAACAGTATAAACCTTAGTCACACTGAAGGCCTCTGGGGCCAACCCCAGGTGGAACAGGTCTTGGGGAAATAGATATTTCCCCCATATTCTGATTATTGTATTCTCGGATACGGATATTGAAGAAATAATACCAAAAGTGCACCAATACACTTCAGTTAGTCAGAAAAGTTACTTTTTCTTCCCTCCCCTTCCTTTAAATGAGCATTTACTCTAACATAGATCCTTTTTTACCAAGTTTCCGGTGAAACTACATATAGCTTGGGGGTGGGGGAAATGAAAGAAAAAGCGAACTGGAAAGTTTTTTATGGTACAGTTACATATTTAAAAAGATTGTCTTTTTTCCATCTGGCTACCTTAGGCTAAGAGAAAAAAAATGAAAGGCTAATTTCACAAATCACGGAGTGTAGTTAACTTTGTTTTGTAGTTGTGCCAAAATATATATCTCTGGTAACTGGAGAAGAGGTGCAAGGAAGCCAGTTTAATGGTCTGTGTTTCACCTCAGCAATGTGTGTGGATAAAATGATATCTACAAGGTTGTTGGGAAGACTAAAGGAGATGGCCCGTGGTGAGTTTCTTCCAGTATGTGGCACATACAAATTGACCTACTAATGTCCATGACTGTGTTCAACTCAGCTCTGGGACCTTGTAAGAGTCCCTTCATCCCTTGCATTGATGATTCTCTATTTGTAAACCAAGATCTTTTACCCTACCTGCCTGTGCTATTATTGTGGGAATCAATGAACAGACATCTAAAAGTAAATAACACAGCAGTTGTTATTCCCAGAGCTATTCACAGATGACACTAAGAGACAACAAGAACTCAATGTCAGCCTGTGAGGACCAAAAAGATTCATGCAGAGGCGGTTGTGGACATTTAGAGGAAGAATGTTGTGCCACAAGGGGGGGGTCAGTTCCTATTCAGTAGGGAGAGCTTGAGCTTAGTTAGCCTTGAAGAAAAGATGATGTAACTGGAAGAAGTGAGTTCTCCTTCCATTGATAGCTGCAGCTGCTAATCTGTGCTGTGTGTCTCTTCTATGGTTACAGGCCGAGCTCATTGGAAGCCTCACCCACAAACTAGAGGCCCTTCAGGAAGCAAAGAAAAGCCTGTTAATGGACATCAAGCTCAATAACGCCTTGGGAGAAGAGGTGGAGGCTTTGATCAGTGAGCGGTGCAAACCCAATGAGTTTGACAAGTACAAGATGTTCATTGGTGACTTAGACAAGGTGGTCAACTTGCTGCTCTCCCTCTCAGGGCGCCTGGCCCGTGTGGAGAATGCCCTTAGCAGCCTTGGTGAAGATACCAGTAATGAAGAAAGGGTAGGTGGCTTAGTGGTTAAGTTCAACCAATTTCCCTCTGAGCCCACATACACAGAAAGGTAGGATTAGATATGATCTAGATTACAGTCTCTTGAAGACAGAAATAGTGCCCAGTACACAGAACCAGAAAAGAGAAGACATCTTCCATGCCAATGTAATGCAGACACTTCAGGCTGAGGGAATACTTAGGCAAGTAAAAACAATGCCACAGAATTGCTGTCCTTTGTCTCTATCCTGGTGGGGGATGAGGAAGAAGCTCCGGGGAAGCTGCAGGTGAGTGAGCAGAGATGAAGTGGGTAGGTCTGTCCTTTGATGGAAAAAAAGAGCAGGTGACAGCAGTGGTAGCAATAGTAAATGAAGTTCAAGTTCTTCCTCTAGGGCATGCACGTCTGCTCAGTCAGTATGTGCCTTCTCCTGGAATCCTCGCAGCAGACCAGTAAGGGATGGGCTAGGGTAGGAGGAGTCCTGCTGCAGGTTAGTTTTACTAAATTGGACACAATTTGATGGCCCCAAAGCATTCTGCTGTACTTGTCTGTACAGCAACTATGTTAGATGTTGAGGCACTGAGATACATCTGTGAACAAAAGACAGACTCCTGCCCTGGCAGAACTTATCACACAGCTGTCACAGTTTACTTTATACAGCCACACTCGCCAGAAAGTGAAAATTGTGCCAACCACCAAGAAGCTCCTTGCTTTTCTGTAAGCTTCTTATCTATAGTTGTCTTCACAGCTATCAAAGATTTCCCAATTATTTCTAAGCTGGGCGTAGCTTAGTGAGAAAGCAGTTGCATCCAAGGTGCTTGCCACAGGACATCAATAAACTGGACATGAATAGAATCTAGAAGAATTTCTATAATTCTAGGTGGACCAGAAGGGGAAGGTCTGTAGCATTTAGAAGAAATGTCATGGACATGTCAAGAAAGACCATGACCCCAAAAAAGACAAGACTGTGGGATGTTTATGAACTGATTTGCATATGGTTGGAATTTCTAGCACATGCAGTGTTTGCTTGGCTGAATTGTTTTTAGAAATATTAGAAAAGTCAGTCTGGGAACTGACAGGAAATAGAGAACTTGCTCAAAAGGGATAAGTGAAGCCAAGTCCAGTGAAGGTATGGAAAGAGTTAAGCCAAGAAAGGGCAAGAAAGGGTAATGAAGTCCTCTTCCGCCCTCCAGAACTGGCATCAGTGGGGAGGCAAATATACCTCTGGACCTGAAGGACACGACGAAGGGACCCCTATAAGAACAGTAGCCATAGCTCCCTACAGCACCAAGCCTTGGTGAAGGAATGCAGCCACCCCTGTCTGGCAAGGAGGGAGCCAGGGATAAATGCTCCAGTTCTTTCTCCTGCCACCTCCAGTCTCCTTCCCATGCTTCCCACTAGCTGACCCCAGAGGGCCAAGGGAGCACAGCTGATAGAGCCCTCAGCTTACCTGAGCACAGAGCAGAGCTTAAAAAAAAGAAAGATCTGGAGGGGTAGCTAGAATCTGCTGCAGAAAATAAGCACAAAGGCCCACATGTCATACTTTGGACGAAGCCTGTAGGCGAAGAACTACACAGTCATTTCATGACATAATCAGTTTAGGGAAGGGTGAGAATGCTACTTACAATTGGGAACATTACTGAATAGTCTAGCAAAAAGGGTTAGGCTGTTGATTTAGGCAGTTGTCATGGGGATGGAGAATAGGGAATGAGTTAGAAGAAGTTTGAATCAGCAGGTTGAATAGGCAGGGTGTGTTAGATGAGGGGAAGGGAAGTTAGAAAGTAATTCTCAGTTTCCTGTTTGGATGCTACAGATGTCAGATATAAAAGAAAAGAACATTTAGTTAGGGGAAGAAGAGGTGTTTCAGAACTCAACTGAATAGTTAAATGTACACACCCTCTCCAATACAAGTAAGTACTTTGCTTACCTGCAAAATACTACATCAGTCTCGGTTTCTATAATCATTAGCCTTTGTTAAGAAATAGCACACATAGAAATGGAAAGGGAATAAGTGGTTCAATAAATGCCAAACTGAGGATAATAGTCACCAGACTCAAGAGGGAAGGGGAAGATGAGGATTGGAAAAGTACAAAGACAGCGTGATCCATCAGGGTTTTTGTATGTGTGTGTTTCTAATTAAGGAAAGGAAGCCTATGAAAATGGAGCTATTTAAGAAAAACCTGTAACTTTGTACTTTTCCCCAGGCATTTTATTATGTAAGATCTAATTGGCTCTTGAAAGAATTTAGGGCAGAGACATTTGAGCCCTTTAATAATCCCACCTCAATGTATTTGTATTGCAGTACATTGAAATAATTTCTTATACATTTGCATTGTAATATTTTTCAATTGCTGTGACTTAGTCTGAATGGCTAAATGCAAAAGTTTAAGAATGTCTTAAATGACATTCATTATGTCACTACATTGAATAAAAACCATGCTAGAGATTTTGATAACCCTAAAAGATAACATGCTACTTTACTGTTGGTCTTAGAATATAAAATCACCATCATTATTAAATAGAATATCTAATTTTTAGATTCAGAGGCCAAAAAAAAATGAATTATTTAGGGGTGGAACTAATGATACTCTCACTCGTGTTTGTGGATTAAGGCAGAGGCTTTCAAACTTTGGCTGCAAGAGCATTGCCTGGAAGGCTCATTAAAACACATTTCTGGGCTTTCCCCTCTCTTGCTTTTGATGCAGTAGGAGAAATGAGGCCTAAGAATGTATACTTCTAACAAATTCCCAGGCATGCTGCTGACAGTGCACACTTAAAGAACCACTGTGAATACTTATATATACTTAAGCTACCTTGGTAATTGGCCATCTTCCTCCCACCCTTCAATTCTTTCAGTGTGGGAAAGTGCACAACACAGAATTTGCCATCTTAACCATGTAGAAGGATATAGTTCAGGGATATTTAGTACAGTCATATTGTACACCCTTTTCTGAACTCTTTGCCGAAGCTCTACCTGGTAAACAGTGACTCCGCTCCTGCTCTGAGTCCCCAGCAACCACCAGCCCATTTTCTGTCTGCTTTGACTACTCCAGAATCTCATAGGTAGAATCATTGTCTTTTTAAGTCCAGAAGCCTAAAGAAAATATCTCCCCTCCTCACCCCCCGCCAATTTAATATAATCACTCTCAAATTAAAGCTGCAATGATTTTACAAGTTAGCAAGCCATATACACATTGACCACGGACAATTCAACTGCTTTGGTCTGCTTAGAAGCAGATTTTTTTACCATCCATTGATTTCTACATGCACTAAGTCAATCTCAGATGTGAAACCTAAGTATATCGCAGCCCAAGTATAAGGAATTTACGCCTCTGGGCATTTTGGCACAGGGGTGGGACAGAGGAAGCTGTCCTGAAACCAACTCTTAAGTGGATAACAAGGAGTTACTGTAGTTATGTTTGGAGGGAGTCAGGCGTTACACACAGGTTTCTGATGGCACAGGGGTTCTGTTCTTTTAGCTGCCGTGTTTGAGGTTTCACTGGACATGCAACGTAGGGGCAATACACAGATTCTCATCAGCTTAGTCTGCTTCAGACACTCAGCCATGGCGCAATCCTATGAAAGATTTCCTTGCAGGCATCTAGACTCTTCCTCCCCCACCCTTTGCTGATGTGCCCATCTCTCTTGGCAGAATTCTCTCAACGAGAAGAGGAAGGTCCTGGCGGGGCAGCATGAGGACGCACGGGAACTCAAGGAGAACCTGGATCGGAGAGAGCGGGTCGTGCTGGGCATCCTGGCCAATTACCTCTCCGCAGAGCAGCTCCAGGATTACCAGCACTTTGTGAAGATGAAGTCAACGCTCCTCATTGAGCAGCGAAAGCTGGACGATAAGATCAAACTGGGCCAGGAACAGGTCAAGTGCTTGCTGGAGAGCCTGCCCCCGGATTTTGTTCCCAAGGCGAGGGCCCTGGATCTGCCCCCAAACCTCCAGAGTGAAATGACCCCCATGAGGGATTATAGTTTCAGCTATGTTTTGCCAGCATTAACCTCTCCACTCTAACCTCTTGTAAAATACCCAACCGAAAGATCACCCTTTCTCTCAACACTATTTAATGTGGAAGAAATGTACCACTGCAACCCACCATTTAAACTGTATGGGCTATTGGTTTTTTTCTGGATAAAAGGAAAAAAACTCTGTCCAGGAAAAAGCCTGCTCTTTCCTTCTCCACTTCGTGATTATCTTCTGAGAGTGTGTATGCTGCTGAGAACATATCCCTTTCTATTATTAATTCGTAGCAGAAAGAAAATTAATGAAGCTGTAACAACTGATCAGAGGGGGTTTGATTGATGGTTTAGTTCTTAACTGGCAAAGGCCACGCAGATGAGTGCGAGTCAGTCACCCTCAGGAATGGAACCACGGGGGCTCTTCACTCATGGGCAGAGTACTGACGACAGGCACAGCGCTCATTAATGAAGGGTCTGCAACATGAAGCCTTAAAAAGCAATGGAAGAAAATTGTACAACCTTGAACACTGTTATTTATATTTTTAAAAATGAAAAAGATCATTGTTTATGTGCTAACCATTTATTTGATTGTTTTGTGGTGGATGTAGACAATTATGTTTGACTTTGTATTTTGTGAAAACCTAATGAAGAATTCCAAAGATAGTCACATGCAGTGTGGAGACTTGCTTTTCCTTCTATTCTCAACTTGTTTTTCACACACAAGAGTAGGCCATCTATACCTTGTTAGCCTGAGCGTGGGGCGTGGGGCATTCCCAGCTCCACGGCTGCCAGCCTCTCCACTCACTGCTACCACAGGCAGGCACACAACACTGACCCAGGGTCTTCATGCAGCATCATTTCCACGTGTTTCCCCAGTGTCATTCTCACTGAGGTGGGCAGATGAAGCTACATTTTACTACAGAGGACCACAAGCCAGTTCCAAAGTGAACTCGGGTTTTCATGCTCTCCAACACAGGCTGTGAGCTAAATACAATGATGCATTGAGTGAGAGAGAGTATGAGGCCATTCCAAGGATACGCCTGTTAAAATGTTTTCCTAAGATATCAAGCCTGTTGGCCACTTACTAGAAGCTCCCTCCTTAACATACTCCCACTCTTCAGTAGAAGCACCTCAGAGAGGACTCCAGACAGATCCGCCTTGTCAATTTTAAAACAGACAAACCGGGCCCTCCCTGGTGGCGCAGCGGGTTAAAGCACAGCACCGAGAAGCTAAAATCACTTCCGCATGAGTTTGATCCCCATCCTCCCTGGAGGTGACCCACAGGGTGCCACAGACCTCTCCTGGCCTGCCCGCTGCTCCCCTCAGCAGTGTTCTTCGTCAATCTGCCTGTGCTGCTCCCCACTCTGTCTCTGGTGTATCCTCTCACTACCCCTGCACCTCTGGCCTGTACTGCGGTTCTGTGTGCATAAATATTTTAAAACAGACAAACCACAGAAGGACAAACCTCGGGCCAGCGGCGAGGCCCTGTTGATAGCCCCCAGAGAGGCAAACAGCCAAATAGCCGAGCAGGTGGCACATACACCCCAGGCTGTGCTCACCCTTGGGTGTCCTCACATGTGGTCTGTGGCTGGTGGCCACTGCTGCTGATCTGGACTTAACAGGTCCCAGCAGCCCATCATAGAGAATCGGGAGGCGACAATTTGCAGGAAGGTACCAAAAGCCCTTTTCTCCCTTCGTATGTTGCAATGGATTTTATCTGCTGGCGTGGAATGTCAATACTACAGTTTTGGTACTTAATACAGAAGGGTTTTGGTAACTTAGTAGCCATAGGCCACCCAGCAGCTTGTTGTGAGCAGTCAGCCAGTCTTTGGCGAGAACACACTGATGCCCCTGACAGGAAGGCAGCACCTTGGTGTCCCAGGAATGTTTTAAAAGCTTATCTCATATCTAGGTCCCATCTCCCAGACAATCTGGAGTCAGTGCCAACATGCAACACTCGCGTGGCACCGTCACTGAGGAAGAAAAGCAGTCCATGGCTTGCTAATTCTTACACCAACACAGGAGCCTGAAATCAACCCCCAACTGGTATCAACTGTGTCTTGCTGCTACTGAATAGTTCCTTGCTCTAAGACCAGGTCGAACAGCCAACAAATGTCTTCAGCTGTTGGGAATGAACCCCTCAGCTTCTATTGGCTCCCTATTCCCCCCACTCCTAAATACTTCCTAAGCATGAGGGGAACATTTTGCATATATTCATTGTTTTCCTGTGACTTTTCTCATTTATGCATGTCGAAGTCACACCACCCCAACAGAATTGCAGGCATGCCACAGGCACCTGGAAGCTCTGAAGATAGAGAGTCCCTTCTTAACAGAACAACAGTTCATAGCAACAGAATGGAATGAGTAAGCACCAGTGTGACTTTGAAATCTAATTTTTTTGGTGGATATGGAATTTACAATAGGACGTGACCTCTGTGCTATGAAGAGGGAAAAAAAAAAACACGAAATTTTCAGTGCCTCTAGAATGCCTCTTATTTAGCCCTTTCTAGCCTACATTCTCTTCCCACTATTAAATTGTCTACAGTAGAACTAACTATTCCCTCTTCAACACCACCCTCAGCCAAGATCATGAATATATTAGTCAAGAGCCCAGGACACCCCTGACATCATCAAGAATGTTTGTGCCCAGTAACTGTCCCTGGGAGTGTGAGGAATTCCAAAAGCCATGTTCCATCAAATGTCAGGTGGGGTGACCTTGTAATAATTCAGATGCTGATACTGAAGAAAGGTCCAAGGAAGGACGAAGACCTGGAACACACTGACTTCCTGGGTCACCTGAGAATTCCTGGCATGTTCTGAGCTGCTGATTGACTCAGCCTTTTCTTACACTGTTTTGTTTCTTGTGGGGCAACTAAACCCCAAAGAATGCAGGGAGGACCCACAGTGAAAGTATCAGTTTCTCTAAGAGGCACTGTCGAAACCAGCCCTTTTCTCCTTCGCCCCAGGGGAACAGTTGAGGTTTTCTTTTGTACAAATGGTGTGCAGACTTGAAGATAGAAATGTTTGGTCATCCCCCAAGAATCAGTGACTACTGAGGTGAGGAATGAGGGCTTTACTGAGGTCCTTTAGGACATATAAAACAAGCCAACCTGGGTCATCCAGTTTTTCTATTTCCTAGTGTTAATAGTGGATCCAAAACCACTTCTGAGTTTTTGTAGTTATCCCTAAAAGGAATTCTAAATATTTTTATCTGAGCTAATCATTAAAATATTTTTCTGGCACCTAGAAAAGTGTTGTTATAGTTCCATTTTCCAAATTTACTTCTCTTCAACTTAATTTTATTGGCCTATTTTATTGGCCTTAGTCTGTTAGGTTGGATTTTTTTTCTTTTTCTAGAACAACATGAACTTTATTCACCTTATGACTGGAAAGAAAAAGAATACACTTTAGTCAGAAATAACCATAACCTTTCCATCTCTTGCAAGGTATCAAGTGACCAGGCAAAGGTCAAAAGGCCTTATTACACCTGGGCATAAGGGACTCACTGATGTCTGAATTCTCTGGAACAAAGGTTGATAAAATGATTAAGAGTTTACTATCAAACAACACCTAAACTGTTTTCTTATTTCTAAATAAAATCTTACTTTGGTGGGTGCTCATTCAGATACCAGCTTGATCTTGTGGTGTGGTCAAGATACTATCTGCATCTGAATCACAGGAATGCTAGTTTAAAAATGCAAATTGCTGGAATATAGCCAAGTGGGCTGAGACTCTGTACTTTAACAGGTCCCAGGCTATTTTGAGCCAATGAACACTGAGAAGCACTACACCAGCCATTCATGCAGTCTCCACTGTCGGGATCACAAATAAAACTAGCAGGAATTTACTAATATCCCTCAAATCCTACCATGCCTGTGTTACATGACCTTATTGTGAGTTAACAGTTCCCCACTATTAAATAATTGTCAAGGTTTGATAAGGATTTGTTCCCTGCTCACTTTGTCCTAGAGCTGTTTTAAATGTAAAGTAAGTAGCAAGCAAGCACTCAGGCTCAATTGTACTAATCATTTTCCTCAAAAGTTATCAGCTGGTCACACAATGTCAGTAATTTGAAGTTCTACAGCACCAGCCTGAAATCACAACTGACCTTTTCAGTGGGGATTGTTAGGTTTTTGTTGCTTCATCACAACTCTCATGCTACATGTGAGGTAGACTTTCTCTGGGCTTGGATTTGACAGTGTAGCCGATGGGGCAAAAATATATTAATTTCTTTTGAGAAGTGAAAGGAACCATCACCCAATATCAAAACCCTAAAGTCAAAAGGCAGGGGGAAAGTTGCCAGTGAAGAAACAGACTCTTAATCCCAACTTCATTCTATTCTCTCTAATTAAAGTACAGCACAATGAAGCTACCTGCAGCCATTGTGTCACAAGTTTGATGCCCAGCCAGGGAGGTGACCCACATGGCTCAGCAGATCTTCCCTGTCATGTCCACTGCTCTCCCTCAGCAGTGTATTTCAGTACATCTACCTGTTCTGCTCCCGACTCTGTCTCTGGTGAACCCTCTCACCTCCCCTGTACCTCCAGCCTGTACCCCAGTTCTGTATGCATAAATAAATAAATCTTTAATAAAAAACCCTCTTCTATAAGTAGAAAAGCAGCTGCATTTCTTGCTAAAGCATCAGTATTGCTAATGCTTTAGACACCATCCAACAGATGTCTAATACAAGAAAGTGTTAAATTCTGATAAAGGGACATTATGAAATATGGAATATATGATACCCGGAGTTAAGGTAGAGTACCTTAGGAAAGAGAAACTTGGAAAGAGTACTGGGATTCAGACTACCCTGGAAAATTCTCAGTCACTGAAGCAGAAAAGTTTGCTGGTCTGCTGTCCTCGAGCAAGTAGCACTTGCTTGCAGAGTGCAGGCTAGTTGCAGTCAACAACCCAGGACATGCATGTGCATAGTGGTGGGGATCTGAGGCGAGGGTGACCTCTCTGCTCAGTGGAAACCCTGAGTCACAGGTCACCTGAACCGCAAGGACCTGCAAAGAGCAGAGTTGCTGATGTTGTCCAACCCCTTCTGATGCAAGCAGAAGTCCCCACGGTGCACAGAGTGGACTGAGGCTGCAAGGTCAGCTGGGCAACTGTCACTAGGGGTGAGCCTCACACCCACACCATTCATCACAGGGTGACCACCAGAAACTGCAAGGCAGTCCTTCCTTCCACCTCTCTGGCATCCTCTACTGAGAAAGCTTACCATCAGAATCAATGTGAGGGAGAAACTTCAAGCGAATTGTCCATTATCACAAGGTATATATTGGAGGATGAATTTAGAATTAAGATGAGGTAAATTCATAACTGGCAGTTTAGTCTTTTAGATTATTACCCTAGCATAATCTAGGATCACATAGAATTTTGTAGTTGTTGGTTCTGTAAGAACAAGGTGTCTGACTGGAGGAAAAGAACAGAAACACTGAAGGAGACATCACAAGGTTAAAACCTCACTCATGCAAAGAGGTGGGGGCAGAAGGAACTAACATGACCATTAACCCAGTCACAGACACTCCTGTATCAGACTGTATCAGACTGCTGTAGGGAATATCAGAAGCACAGACCTGAGGGTAAAGATAGAGATTGAACCCATTGCGAGATTCCACAAAGTTATCCAAAAT